TTAGGGTTTAATTTGATTATTGATGGGGTTCCTCAAATTCTTTCATTCGGTTCCTTGGGCTGGGGGTGTTTATTTTTATGAAAGTGAATTGTAAAAGTGTGAAAGTGAAATGATTTTAAGATTTTTGGTGTTTTTTTTATTGAAAGTAATTTTGAAAGTGAAATGTTAAATTGAGTCCACATCAGCTCTAATGCATGTTTAAGTTCCCCTAAAAAATGCTGAAGTCAAGTGGAAGTGAGAAAAAGTGGGGACCACTCCTAATTAATTGGTATATTTATTATTTATCTTACCTTATTTTCCCATGTTATTCGGTGAAAACAACCACCTCCCCCTAAAATTTTCTTACCTGCTAATTATATTATTTCTTTTATAGCATTTAATAGTTGTGTACATTGTTAATGTCATGTATATAGTACGAATTAGACAATTTATGAACATGACTACACATTTTAGCGTGATTGTTGTACAGTTGTAACATGACTAGACATTTAATAAGCCATTACGTTATTAAAAAATATAAAGTACATAAGTAAAAATTACAGAATACAAAGAATCTATAAAAATTAGTATAAGTAATTGATGATATATATACCCGAGACTTTCAATTCGTTTTTTAGTTGTTACCAGAATAATTATTAGAGTTTAGAGTGTAATATGAATTTAAATAACAAATAAATAAATAATTGCTACATCATCTTTATTTTCCTAGTTCCAAGATTAATTCGTTTTTACAAAAAAAAACATTGTATTTTACTTTCATGTTGACATGGATCTGTTAGATCTAAACCAAAACTTGAGATCTAAAACCATATAGCCATGATTAATTCAAAGAGATTAACAAGAATCATAGATGAGCGGAAGCTTATACCTGAATCCATAGAAGAAAACTTTATTTGGGTTTTTGATGATCTTCTAACCTTAGAGTTCCTCTAAATCCGAATTTCTCTTTCTAGATGGGGGTGAAGAGAATTAGAGAATGTAACCCTAGGTTAGGGACCATAACCCCTTATTTATAGATGTTGTACTTTTGTAATTTAGCCCATCAATAAATCACAATTACAACCTGGTATCTGCACATATAACCCCATGACTTATTTAAATACCAAATTAACCCAACTTAATTGATCACTTCAGTGGGTTATCCTGAAAGATAGCAATACACATTGATTAATCATATGTGCCCACAAATAGATTTATTAGATTAAATCCAACACATGGCTCCTCATTAAAATATAATATTTATAATATTTTTGATATACTATTAATATGTTCAATATTATTAATTAAAAATATTATTAAATAATATATCAAATGAAAAGAAATGTGATTTGCTTTGACGTCATTAAAGAAAGTTAGTACCATGATGCAATAGAAAACATATCCCCGTATCTTTTTAATTTATAGCCCAAAGACCGAAGTCGATCTTATCTTTGGTTAACTATTTGTTTTATTGACCACGCCTTTGTCACATTCACTTGATAACTTCTAGGATCCTAATCTAAGCAAAGCATCCTTGAGTTAATGGGGGAGTTTTCAATTATTTTGAGATAGTGATGATTATGATTTATGCGGAAGAAAAACTTAAAAAATTTAATTTCGGGTTTGCTCGAGACATGAGGCATAGGTTCATGGATAGCCGGCAACATATCTAAAAGGTTATCTGTAGTAAAATTAATGTAATCTCTCTTTTGTTGACATTATCCCTTGACCATAAGATTCTGTACCTCATTAGCATAAATGAGTAGTTAAAAAATGATTTGGTTTTTGGGGAAATTTGGCTACCTATAATTTATGCAGATTTAGATTCAAGTAACTTTTTGAACAATAAATTATGACTTCAGTTGCCACTAATTGTTGTGCCAAAAGCTGTGTCGAGGAACCAAAGGCATCCAGCAAAATCAGAATCCGAATACCCAATGACCTCTAATTTTTCTGATTTTCTATATGTGAGCATGTAATCTTTTGTTTTCTGAAGATACCTCATAACCCTTTTGACTGCTATCCAATGATCCATACCAGGGTTGCTTAAGTATCTGCCTAACATCCCAACAATGTACGCAATATCCAGACGCGTACATACCTGAGCATACATTAGATTTCCTATAGCCGAAGCATAAGGAATCTTCTGCACAGTGTTGAAAATAACGCGTTTCGTAACGCAAAATAACGCTTAACGTAACGTAACGGTAGCTTAACGTTACGTAACGTTTGAAAATAACGCAAAGACAAAATAACGCACGTTATTTTAGCTATAACGTAAGTTACGTAACGTAACGGCGTAACGTTTTATAACTTAGGTTATTTTGTCAATGGCTTAGATTGCTTTTAAAAGAAATGAACGGCTGTGATTGAGTTATAACTTAGGTTATTTTCCACCTCCCCTTCCCCTTTTCACGCCTTTTTCATGCCGCCCGCAGCTCCGCCTCCTCTCCCCCCCCCTCCACCTCCGCCTCCCCTTCCCCTTTTCCCTCCTTTTTCACGCCGCCTGCAGCTCCGCCTCCCCATCCCCTTTTCATGCCCTTTTCTTTGCTACTTTAGCCTGCAACTCCCCCTTTTCGCACCGCCTTGTCCAAACATAAGCATGCTTTTGGTTTTGGGTTTATGGATCATTGGATCCTTTCATTACAACTTGATTCATAATTTCATACTCATGGATTCCAACCCAACCCAATAATTTCATACTTCATAGTTTATGGATGATTCCAATCCAACCCAATAATTTCATACTTCATAGTTTATGGATCATTGGATCCTTTTTGGTTTCGAACTTGAAGTATTTTATGCTTTTGGATTGATTGTTAAGGCAAACATGGTTGATTTTGTTGTGAAATTGTGATGATATATTGATTTGTGAAATTGAAAATTGCGATGATTATTCATATTTTTTATTTTAAATGTTATATAGCTATAAATTATTTAAATAATAATAAATTATTTAACCTACGTTACGCTATGCGTTATCGCTATTGTAACCTAACCGGAGGTAAGCGTTACGCTATGCGTTATCGCTATTTTCAACATTGTGTCACCTGGTCTGCAATCTTGCATGCCAAACCTTTTAAGTACCTTATCGATATAGCTCTTTTGTGATAATCCAAGAATACCCCGAGAGCGATCTCGATGTATCTGGATCCCTAATATAAAAGAGGCGTCCCCAAGATCTTTCATCTCAAAATTCTTTGATAGAAATCTCTTGGTTTCGTGCAACATGCCTATATCATTAGTGGCAAGCAAGATGTCATCCACATACAGAACCAGAAAAATATACTTACTCCCACTGAACTTGTGATATACACAGTCATCAACAATGTTCATCTCAAAACCGAACGAGATAACTATTTGTTGAAACTTATGATACCATTGACGAGGAGCTTGCTTGAGTCCATAGATGGATTTCCTTAATTTGCAGACCATATTCTTTGGGTCTCCCGACACAAAGTTTTCTGGTTGCACCATATAGATCATCTCATCAATGTCTCCATTGAGAAATGCAGTCTTAACATCCATCTGATGTAACTCAAGGTCATAATGAGCAACAAGTGCCATGATTATTCTGAAAGAGTCTTTCGATGAAACCGGAGAGAAAGTCTCTGTATAATCAATGCCTTCCTTTTGAGTATAGCCTTTAGCCACAAGACGCGCCTTATACCTCTCCACATTACCATTTGCATCCCGCTTGGTTTTAAAAATCCATTTACAACCAATTGGTTTTGCACCTTCTGGCAATGGGACAAGTTCCCAAACCTTATTGTCTTGCATAGACTTATACTCTTCATTCATGGCATCAATCCACTGTTGAGAATGGGACAAGTTCTCAAACCTTATTGTCTTGCATAGACTTATACTCTTCATTTATGGCATCAATCCACTGTTGAGAGTTAGAACTTTTTATGGCCTGAGAGAAGTTGATTGGATCATCTTCTAACATTCCACTACTTTCCTCATGTTCTTGGAGAAATACAATATAATCATCCGGAATAGCATTTCTCCTTTCTCTCGTGGATCTCCTTAATGGCACTGGTTCTTGAGGTTGTTGAGTTTGTTCTTCTGGAACAGGGAGTTGTTCAACATTATCATCTTGAGGTTCCGGATTTACTTCTTGAGCAACAACAGGTATAGGAACCTGAATATTATCAGAAGTAACTGTATGGATTGG